CCCAAGGTGTCCCCAAAGTCTCACACCCCATAAAAGTCCCATTTCCCAGTTCTCTGGTGCCCCAGGGGTGTCCCCAAAGTGTCCCCTCGTTGTCCCACGATGTCCCACGACGTCCCCAAGGCTCCAAGGTGTCCCTGGGGGTGTCCCCAAGGTGTCCCCAAAGTGTCACACCCCACAAAAGTCCCATTTTCCAGTTCTCTGGTGCCCCAAGGGACGTCCCCACGATGTCCCCTCGTTGTCCCACTGAGTCCCTTGTTGTCCCACGTTGTCCCACGATGTCCCCAAGGCTCTGGGGTGTCCGTGGGGGTGTCCCTGGGGGTGTCACTGCTCCAGCATCTGCTCGCAGGCGCGGGCCAGCTCCGCCAGGCGCCTCCGGGCGTAGTCCAGGCGGTTGAGGGCCAGCTGGCAGCTCTTCCTGGCCGCGTAACTCGAGCCCTCGTGGGGCTGCCCCGTGGCCACCTGCGGGCACGGCACCCACGGGTGGGTGAGGGACCCCAAAACCACCCCGAAACACCCCAAAAAACACCCCAAAATCGCCCCAAAAATCCACCACAAAACACCCCCAGAACCACCCCAGAAATGCACCCCAAAACAACCGCAAAACCACCCCAAAAATCCACCCCAAAACACCCCAAAACACCCCAAAAATCCACCCCAAAACACCCCCAGAACCACCCCAAAACCACCCCAAAAATCCACCCCAAAACAACCCCAAAACCACCTCAAAAATCCACCCAGGACCCCCTCAAACCCACCTGTGGGCACGGCACACCTGGGCAGGTGAGAGACCCCAAAACACCCCAAAAATCCACTCCAAAACACCCCCTTAAACCCACCTGGGGTCATGGCACACCTGGGCAGGTGAGACAACCCAAATCCACCCCAAAAAAAAACCCCAAAACACCCCCAGAACCACCCCAAAACCACCCCAAAAATGCACCCCAAAACACCCCAAAAATCCACTCCAAAACACCCCCTTAAACCCACCTGTGGGCACAGCACACCTGGGCAGGTGAGACACCTCAAAACACCCCAAAAACAGCCCAAAAATCCGCCCAGGACCCCCCCAAAAACCCACCTGGGGGCACGGCACACCTGGGCAGGTGAGACACCCCAAAACACCCCCAAAAAACCCACCCAGGACCCCCCAAAACCCCCCCGAGGGTCTCACCTGTGTCAGGTAGCGGATCTGTGCCGACAGCTCGGCCTCCACCTTGGCCACGGCGGCGCCGAACTGGGCGGCCTGACGGTCCAGGTGCCGCTCTGTGGGCTTCTCCTTGGACAGCTCCAGGATCACCGAGCCTGAAAACACACCTGGATACACCTGGATACACCTGGGACACACCTGGATACACCTGG